TTAAAAAAAAAAAAAACCGTTCAATCTGTTTATTCAAAGCAGTGGACAATTTTAAAGTGTGGACTAGGATTATGATGGGGAAGTCACATTCAATTTGCAGGTATCTGTGGAGTAAACTCAAGGATTCATGCTTTGAATTCATGAATGAAAAGAAACGAGCAAACCAAGTCCCATAACTCGAGTGTCAATCCAAACAAGGTCAGAGAAGGTATTGTTGTTGTTTAGTCCAATCTAGCAAGCAGACAGAGAAGACTCCCTTTCTGGTATTTAACTTTCCTTTAGAGAATCAAAATTAGATATTATGGATGCTGACATGGGCATCTGGATTCATGGGCATAAATTGGAGTCCAAGATAAATTAGGATCTTATGCAGGACTTTGCTTATGAAACAAGAATCCATTCAACAGGGAGCAAAGAGACCAAAGCTGCCACAAGCATGAGCAAGGCCACCTAGCCTCTGACTTAGGGCCATCATGTGGGTAGAGAGGCAACTTGGCCACTACTGCCCAGCAGTGCCAGGCAGCCTAATTTCATTTCATGGGTGACCAGGGGTTTGATGGTTATGCTGCCCAAGCAATTAAGGGTGGTTAGAAATTCAGAGGCTGATTGCACCCAAACAAAGTAAGTCTCCTGTCCTTCCAGGCACGTTTATATTCCAAATCAAACTTTGCACCTTAATGTTTAATCCACAGTGTTATATTCAAACTGCTTTAGCCTGAAGCCCTTTTTGTTAATAGAGTTAATCAAAAATGAGCAATGTGGGAATCATAAAAAAATTCTTTATTTTATCTTAAAATGTACATTTGTTCATAGTCAAATGTGTTCATTTACTATGGGATTCAGTCTTTTATGAGTGTTGGTCTGAAGATGGAGTTCTAGATCATATAGTTTGTCAATTGCATCATTTATATATTATCAAAATTTTCCATTTTAGTTTCTTTAAACTGAAAGAGAACATAGAAAAGCCTATGAAACAATATGAATGCAGATTTCTGTTAGATTTTTTAACTTAGAGACAAACTTCTATAATTGTCTCAACTATCCCTGATTTGACTGTAGTTTTCCTTACTGGTTTACTGTTTTCACCAGTGAAAAGCTTACTCAACTTACACAATTATTTCATAAGACTTGTTTTTTAATTTTAACACTCAAATTTTATTAATTTCTGTAATATGTAATTAAATTGCTGGACTTCAATAATGAGTACAACTGCCATAAAGGGGTTTTGATATAAATGCAACTCGAAGAACATACAGATGAAAGGATGATATCAGAAGTACTGAGCTTAGGAAGAGCGTGAACTAAGACCACGCAGGCCGCATGTGCCTCAACATATTTGAAGGAGGGAACAGAGGACATTGGTCAATGCCGTGGTTAACAGGGTTTGTTAAGAGTCACTGTAGAAAGCAAAGATAGAAAGTTGCATTCATAAAGTGGTATTTTCTTGGAAAATTCTAGCCCCCAAGGCAATTTTTCCTTATCAAAACACCTGAACCTCAGTGTCCTCAGCTGAAAAATAATTTAAATAATAATACCTGCTATCCACCCTATCTACTTCAAAGGATTGTGGAAGGGGCCAAATGATGTTGGTGAAGGTACTTAAATCTCTGAGCCTAGCACTAGGAATAAGATTAGCCATAGTAATAATAATTTTAGATAATCTGACCCATTCTATCCCTCTCATATATTAATATAACCCAAATGAAGCTAAGCATGAAGATTTTATTTACTTAGAGCCACATTCTATGTGATGATACAGACGTTTAGCTTATAGAGCAATATCTGATATTTAAATATACAAAATCTAAAAGAAAAATAACTTAAAAATAGATTTTTTTTCAGGCAACTAAACCACTAGCTAGACTTTCTTCTTCATTAAACACAAATAGCCCTAACTTGGTGGGGGCCAGAAGGAGAATCAAGGAAAAAGAAAGATCATAAAAATATGAGTTTGCGGCTGGGAGTGGTGGCTCACGCTTGTAATCTCATCACTTTGGGTGGCAGAGGCAGGTGAATCACCTGAGGTCAGGAGTTCGAGAACAGCCTGGCCAACATAGTGAAACCCCATCTCTACTAAAAATACAAAAATTAGCTGGATGTGGTGGCACACATCTGTAACCTCAGCTACTCGGGAAGCTGAGGCAGATGAACCTGGGAGGTAGATGTTGCAGTAAGCCAACACTGTGCCACTGAACTCCAACCTGGGTGACAGAATGAGACTCTGTCTCAAAAAAAAAAAAAAAAAAGTTTGCATTTCTTTGTGTCACACATCCTACATTTGCTGTAAACCACCAATTACAAAGAACTGGTTAATGTCCAAAATCTTTTCAGTCAGGGTTTCATAATTACTTGTTTGCACAAGAGACACAGTCCTCTGGAAACGCTTTTTTTCTTCCAAATTATGGATTCTTAGAATTAATAGATAATTTTACTGAAAGGATAAGCCTAGTTAGCAAAAGAATAGTGATGATTTAGGGTTATATTCTGCTAAATAGCATGTTATTTTGAATTACCTACAATGAATGTGGTTTCACAGTATTATCTGTAAGGCAGCGTTTTTCTTCCTTGCATTTTCTGACTCTTTTATCTCACTGTTAGCACCACAATAAAGAAACCCTAGAAAGCTGTACAGGAAAATAATTTGAACATGAACTTGTACTCTCAGAAGCAACTGCATTTGCAGCTCTCCGCCACTTCATATTCAAAAGTACCCACATTTATCTGGTCTCTTTTTCTACTGTCATCTAAATGGGGGGAAGAATGTATTCAGTGTGTAAAAATAAGCTATTGTATCTCAGAAAGGAGATGGGATGCTAATTAAGGGTTATGTGAATGAACAAGTCACATTGCATTATCTACTGGGAGCTGGCTGCCAATTGCTTTTTTGGTAATGAGTCAAGAAAAACATTCAAGAAGGCCCCTGCAAGCTTGGGAGAGAAGCGAGCAGCATTTCCATTTATCAAGTAGGTGCAGAAGCCTGTTCAAGTATTAAGAATCAGGGTGCAGACAGCAAGCTCCTGTCTTGCAGCTTTTCTTACTGGTTTTGAGAGCCACCTTCCTAAAGAGAGGCCTCTTGCTCAGGTCTGATCTTGGACAATGGGGCACGTATGACAGACTGCTGGACTGCTGAATGAATGCCTCTTTCTTTGTTCAATACCTTTTTCAAGATTCTTTGTCATTCTTCCTGGACTCATCGGGAGGCATGGGTTTTAAGATACACAATAGCTCGGGTCTTACAGCAAAATAATTGATGCTTCGTTGAAAGAAACCAGGCAAATTGGTTAGTATGATTACCTTTAACAAAGTGGGTAAATTGTAGACATTTGGCAACTCATAGATTTGGAGAGAAATAAGTTGCTCTATTTTAAAAAGATTTCTTCTCTTAATGTTAACGTAAAGTCAGCCAGAGTAAGCCTTTTGGTCTGATAGCCAGAGAGTCTTGGGTGGCATGTAAATAAAGCGGAAACAATTTACTTCATTTGAAAAAAGGGTCAAAATGTGGAGGATGTAAATGTGCTTTTATTGTAATGGATGAAAGAAACTGATTTCCTAGGTGAAGTGACTTCTTTCCCTGTGCTAGCATGTAGAGTAGTGGTGCTTAGCGCAATACAGCCCTGGGGGCGTGTTTCTGATACTCTACGTGCCTTTTCCTTCAGTTCTGTAATTTTGCGAGTCTTTTGCTGCTCTTTTAAATCTATAAGCATTTAAATTTTTATCAAGTGTCTTCATATGCCTTTGACATAGATGTGAAGAGACAAGTGTCCTGGGTATTAAAAGGTCCTGATTGAAGGCAACAAGTGAAAGAATTCTACGTAAATGTGTGGATGGTTGGGAGAAAATCAGTGCTATTTAAACATTTCTGATATTAACATTGCTTCCAAGAGCACTCAAAATAAAACATCAACATTTGTCATTTTACATTCTTTATCATCAAAATTTGTGGTAAAAAAAAATAGTTATTTTGCAGTTTAAAAAGCAAAATAATATGACATTACATGTATGCTTGCATCTCACTTTGCAATTTTTAATTAATAATGGTAACTGGATATAATAATATGAAAATAATATTTAATGCATGAAGATCTAATCACTTTAGGCAAAAAATCTATCACCCAGTAGTTTTAAAATAACAATAATATGTTTTTAAGTGCTTATTCTGTGCCTGGCTTTATCCTAAGTACTTTTCATGTAGCGAATCGTAAAGAAACTGTAACCAAATGAGTTAGGTATCTTGTTCATGGATTCACAGGTAATGAATGGCAGAACCAAAATTCGGACCCAGGCTCTGAGTTAAAAGTCTGCACATTAACCACCGTACCACGTTGCCTTGCTTGCAGTATAATTATTATCACTCGTTTTAAAGCCCCTCGGGAGGGTCCATTATAAAAATATTTTTAACATCTTTTTTATAAATTAGTTTCATAAGTGAAAAAAAACATTGGTCAAGGAAAACATAATACCATAGGTGTATTGATGGTCATTATATCTGCCTTACATGTAAGGGAAACTTGGTTCTGTGGCATCTAACATATTAGATATTCTCATTAGACACCAGTTTGATGAAGCAGGAAAATGTAACTTTCCTCAATTATTGTGGGAAAACATTCTTTTTATTTCTAGTGAGCACATGATAAATTCTTATATTTGGATCTTGATTTCTTAATTCTTAAATTTTTTAGCTTAGTTCTTAATTAGTTCTTAATTTCTCTGTGGAGTTTTGGGAAATTTTGCCTTTTTTTTGTACAGAGTCAGCAGTGACTGACAGGTACCTGTAAAATTGATACTTTGTAAAAAATCTCTTAAGATATAATTTACATACCATAAAACCTGGCTGTTTTAAGATTTACAATTGTGGTTTTAACACATTTACAAAATTATAAAAATTGATATTTGATTTTTTAAAATTAATCATGTAAAACTCTTGAGGTGCTTGAATGAAAAGTACTCCAAGGCTAATAAAAGCCATTAACATTTGCTGTATTCTCTTTCCCCTCCTCCAGAAATGTGTGCTGTACTGGCCGGAAAAGAGAGGGATATACGGGAAAGTGGAGGTTCTGGTTATCAGTGTAAATGAATGTGATAACTACACCATTCGAAACCTTGTCTTAAAGGTAAGATTATGTAGCTATAGCCATCTACAAAGTAGATGATGTTAGAGGATTACATTTCTACTTTGAAATTATTTATCTTAATAAGTACTACAAATTCAATTTAAGCAAATTAAATAGTGTTAAGATCTAAGAGAAACTATAATCATTCCCTCATGTATGCTGTGTTGTGTTGTCAACTACTATTAGTATGCAGTATAATTAAATCAATGTAAGTAGATGTTAAGAAAATTCATTATGTAGGATGTTGTGTTCCTCTAATTTGCATTAATAAAACATCTCTGATTTAAACTTTTGAAAGCTTTTAACTAAAGGCTGTGCTGGAGACTTTGCCATGATTTTTTTTAATGTCATTTTGGTCTAAGCAGCTTTAAGTAAGGCCTGGAAGCTGTGAAAGAGAAAATCTGCACTTGTGGGTGGCAGTGGGAAGCAAGACAAGCCTGAAGTGTGGATGAGATCTTCCGAAGCGTGGAGTTACAGTAATTTATAGGGATTTTCCCCAGACGAGATTACATCATAGGAAAACTATCTTATTTAACTCCTGGGCAGCAGATGCTGAGAAATGTTGCCATGGTATTACTTTTGCTTCTGGAGAATAATCACCCAAAACTTTCGATCTTATCTGCAGCCTCACTGCTGGGACAAAATCATCACAAAGAGGAAGAAAACAAGAGGCAGAGCTACAGGGATGGATTTTATTGGGGAGTTTGGAATAGGAAGGCAGTTACCGAAACCTGGTTTACAACACACGTTCTGGAGTGCCGGGTTCATGCCACACCCCCACCTGTGCTGATGTGTGTGGGCCTTCGCCCAAAGTGTTTCCAATAGAGGGACCTCCTGTAGCTTCTTTATTGCTGGGATTCCTGCCTATTAAATACCAGAGTTGGAGATGAGTGTAGGAGTAATAGCATGACTGACATGAAATTAAGTGTTCTATTAATATGTTTATAATCACTTGTCAGGAATGCTCATGGAACAGGAAACAAAATATATCCCATTCTTTCTTGGCTACATTTTCACCTACCATCTTGTTTATTAAAACAAATTATAAATATATATTTAGCATATGTTACATATATGATCTATATTATCACTATAGGTAGAGATACAAATCTTCACAAAGGTAAAACTTTCTCACTTCGAGATCAGGATACGGACAGTAAAGTCTTCTCAAAGTAAAAGGGCACTCTTCAAAAACCTTATAGATTTTTTTCCCACCTAGAAATAAGTTGCCAGCAAGATGGGGGTGATAAAAGGCATCCAGTATTGTGGTTTGGATGACTTTTAGTTCCACAAGCGAATGAGGCATTTGGTGCCTGTTGCTATTTTCAGCAAGGAAGTCACACCCAACATGTGAAGCATTACTGGTACACCTCATGGCCCGATCACAAGACTCCAGACAGTGCCCAGCCCCTCCTACAGCTCATGCTGGATGTAGAAGAAGACAGACTTGCTTCCCAGGGCCGAGGGCCTGTGGTTGTCCACTGCAGGTAAGACGTGAACGGTACTTTCTGTCTAAGCAATAGCCCATTCTTTATAAAGTCATAGAGCAGGTAGAAGTGGGTTTTGCTTCCTGGATGTGACTTTGCTGGCAAATAATTTATTGAAATTGGTTAACTCCCTAATATTTGAGTCTTAATCAAGATTATGCTGACAGAAGTGAAGTCATGTTTTGAGGCATTTTTGGAAAACAGTGATTACACAATGGGTGAAATACAAGTTCGAAATAAGTGGCTCAGTAAACAGGAGACCTTATTCAACAGTAACCTGCTTTAAAACACTGATTCATTTAGTCTCATCAGTCTTATAGGACCAGGAATTAAAATGCATTTTTTGAAATCATCAGTGGCTTTTTTGTGATTTCATGATGACATCTGAACTCTGCTTGGTTGGTATCTCGGTAACATTTATTACTATTTCAAGTTTGGTGAAAATCAGTCAATTATTTTAACAGTTATCTCAGGAAAAACAGATTGAAACAAATTTATGAAATAAGAAGTGAGCAAGTGGTAGTTCACCAAAGGAAAACAAAGTGCTGTTACCAGAACGTGGAGCACCAGAGGCCAGTCCAACAACAGCAGCAGGGTGTGTGGTGGTTCCTGTCCCTCATTTCTAGTTCAAAACTCACCTCCTGGAACTGATACCTCCCTCCCCTTGTTTTCCTTTTAATGTAACCAAACTGAAGCAAGCATTTTTAAGGTAATTTATATGATCAACCATTTATTTATTTATTTATTTTGAGAAGGAGCCTCACTCCATCACCCGGCTGGGGAGCACCGTCTCAGCTTACTGCAGACTCCCCCTCCCTGGTTCAAATGATTCTCCTGCCTCAGCCTCCAAAGTAGCTGGGATTATAGACATGCCTGGCTAATGTTTGTGTTTTTAGTAGAGGTGGCCTTTCACCATGTTGACCAGGTGGGTCTCGAACTCGTGACTTCAAATGTGATCTGCCTAGGCTGGCCTCCCAAAGTTCTGGGCTTACAAGCGTGAGATACCATGCCCAGCCACCCATTTATTCTTCATGTTTTCTCAAAATAATTTTTGTTGCTTTGTTTAATCACGTAGGTCTCTTAAGATGGCTTTTGATGATATATTTAATAAATATCATACATTATTTTAGAGTATAATTTTAGCCTCCTTTTTTGAGATTGAGTGATTTAATTAAGAGTACAGTTTGCTATGTGTCTATTTATCCAAAGGTAGATAACATTGGCCTTATCCTAAACCTAACTTGGAGCAAATAAATAAATAAATAAAAATAAATAAAGCAGCCTAATTGGCTATGCTATAGGGCTGGAACTGTCCCCCACCCAAAGTCATTAAACACTCAGGATATCTAAAATGGACTAGTGACTTCCCCTATAAAAACAGCTCCCCTTCTTGTTACTATTTCTGAGAAAAAGACTATCTTTTTTCCAGTCACTCAGCATCTCATGTTGACAGTTCTCCCTGGCCCTTCTTTTAACTCCAGCCTCACTATCTAATCAGTGACTAGATTGCCTTTCCCTTCAAAGCTTCTCCCATAATCACCATTTCCTGTCCAGCCACAATAGTTCAGGCCCTTATGACCTCATCCATGTATTTAAGAAGTAGCTGGTAAAATGCGCACACATACCGTACTTCCTCATGCCCTCACCGCCACCATGGCCTACCTGTGCCCTTCTCCGTCTCGCCTGACATGAAGTCTCTGCTCAAAGCTTGTCAATGGGCCGGGCACAGTAGCTCATGCCTGTAATCTCAGCACTTGGGGAGGCCAAGGTGGGCGGATCACTTGATATCAGGAGTTCAAGACCAGCCAGGCCAACATGGTGAAACTCCCCCTCTACTAAAAATACAAAAATTAGCCGAGCATGGTGGTGAGGGCCTGTACTCCCAGCTACTTGAGACGCGGAGGCAGGAAAATCGCTTGAACCTAGGAGGCGTAGGTCGCAGTGAGCAGAGATCACAGCACCGCACTCCAGCAGCCTGGGTGACACAGCGAGACACTGCTTAAAATAAAAGAAAAAGAAAAGCTGGAGCGCAATTCCCTGACCTTGAACCTGTGCATGAACTGCAGTGGTCAGTGAACTCCTTGAAATTATTTGAGCACATTTGCATATATAAACTCGTGAATTTTTCTGAAGAGTGGAAGTTTATAATCTTCATCAAATTGTTATTTTTTTACAAAAGGATGGATTTAAACCTCAGCCTTCCATACAAGATCCCAGGGTACCTTTCTATGCTTATTTCCAACAGGTCCTCTAAAATAACTTTCTCTTCAAGACAAGCTACTCTGCTTATTGTTGTAAATCATACCGAGTATTCTCTCTCATTTATGACAGCCAAAATACCTGTCACTCATGGGGCACAGTTCCAATCCCATTTCTTCAATGAAATGAACTTTCTATGGACACTTCAACTAAAAGAGAGCCACTCCTCCCCCAAATTCCTCTGCACTCACGTTTCACAGAAAACAAGTGCCGAATGTGAGAAATAGGCACGTCTGAGTGCCAAGAGGGGAGCAATTAATTCCAACCATGGGGGCTGAAGAAACCCTCTAAAAATCGGGGTAATGCTGAACTGAGCCTTTTGAATAATCAACGTTGTGGTTTTAAAAGGAGGGAGGGCATTTCTGACTGAGAAAACATTGTTAACACAGAAAAATTGGAAAACCAAGAGCCATTTTGCAAACAGTTTGTGTTAAGTGAAAATCATGGCACATAGGAAAGAAGAAAGCAAAATACATAAGGCTTGAAGGTTAGTCACATTCAGATTTTGCAAGGTCACGAATACCATAGTAGGGAGATTAGACATTATGCTATAACTAATGGGAGCCATCTACAGTTTTTGAGTAGGGAATATTATAATTCAGTCCCTATTTCAGAAAGATGAACCTAGCAGCTGTGCAAATTTGTCCAGGAAAAGACTTGAGACTTGGAAACTATAATGAGATCACTGCTAATTATGAAAAAAGGAGATGTTGAAAACGTGAGTACAGTCTATAGAAAGGAAAGCGTGAATCCACAGCCTCAGCAGAGATGGAAAATCAAAGAAGCGGTAACAGATTGGATGTGGGAGGTGAGGAAGGGAGAGATGCAAAAGGTGGCTGCAAGATGTCTAGGCTGGAAAGCTTGTGGCTGGCTGGTAATGCCATTGAGGGAAAAGGTACTTCTGTTTTAGATACATTGAATTTAGACACGTTGAACTGAAAGCAAATGCAACATAGTAAGGAGGAGATGGAATGACAATCTAGAGTTTAGGAAATTTAGGGAGTCTAGATGAAGATTTGAAATAATCTTTTATATAGAGGCGGTTAGTGGTTAAAGCTGCAGACAGGGACAGAGAGCACGTGTGCTTGTGAGGCTGATTTTACGGGCATGTCATCTAAGGCAGTTGAATGTGTAAACCCACCAGGACAGACAGCATTTCTGTTCAATTATCACCTCTATACAAATCTCTTGGAAATACAGATTTGTAGAGGTACACCCTCTCCTAAAATGAATCCAGTCTTCAATTGCTCAGTTATTCGCTAGACTTCTCAACTTCAGTATGTCCAACACCAAATTCCCCTTCCCTTCCCCTTCAAATTCACACTATTCCAGGATGCCCTTGGCCTCAAAGCATCACCATTCTTCTTTCTGTCTAGGCCTAGTTGTATTTAACTTTCGCTTTTCTCCCTCTTCAGCTCCAGTCCTGCAGACTCACATTGGTGATATGTCTAAATCTTCCCCTCCTTTCTACTGCTGTATCTTGCCTAAGTGCAAACCTTAATTATTTTTTATTTTTTGCTAGAACAATTATAATGCATTTTTACTATTCCCCCCACTCGTCACTTCCCTCCACCCCTCTCATCCTACTGCTTATAATTAAATGAAAGAATCTATTTTAAGCACTTAGCACGGGGCCAGGTTTATAATACTCAGTACATGAATACTATTTTTAACTTTGGTTTCAGATTTAAAAGTACACTTTTAAAAGAATGTTTCTTATCTTTGTCATTTTCCCCCACTTTTAAAATTCCTTTTCTTTTTTCTTTTCAGTGCAGGAATAGGTAGAACGGGGTGTTTTATTGCTACATCCATTGGCTGTCGACAGTTGAAAGAAGAAGGAGTCGTGGATGCACTAAGCATTGTCTGCCAGCTTCGTATGGATAGGTGAGTGTCACAGAGGCTTGCCTTCAGAGCAGTGTAACCATTCACAGCCTGATCTCATCTGCCTGACTTCATACATAAACATCCCAGGCTCCAAGGTCCTAAATCTCTATGGAGATGCTTGTAACATGCTTAAGTATATGCCTTATATTTAAAAGCCCTTTTTTTCTCTTTTTTGAGACAAGGTCTTGCTCTGTCAGCAAGGCTGGAGTGCCATGGTGCAGTCTCAGCTCCCTGCAGCCTTAAACTCCTGTGCTCAAGCAATGCTTGCACCTCAGCCCCATAAGTAGCTAGGTCTACAGGTGTGCGCCATGCCTGGCTAAATTTTTAGTTTTTTTTATAGAGATGGGGTCTTGTTATATTACTCAGGTTGTTCTTGAATTCCTGATTACAAGTGATTCTCCCACTTGGACGTCCCAAAGAGCTAAGATTACAGGCATGAGCCATCACACCTGGCCTGAAGTAAGTAAGTCAGTTAGTTATTTGAGACAGAGTTTCACTTTGTCACCCAAGCTGGAGTGCAGTGGTGTGATTATGTCTTACTACGGCCTAGACTTCTTGGGCTCAAGTGGTCCTCCTATCTCAGCCTCCCAAGTAGCTGGGACTACAGGCGAGTGCCACCACACATGACTAATTTTTGTATTTTTTTTTTAGTGGCAGGGTCTCACTATGTTGCCCAGGTTTTTCTAGAACTCCTGGGCTCAAGGGATGCTCCTTCCTTGGCCTCCCAAAGTGCTGGGATTGCAGGTGAGAGCCACTGCACCTGGCCCCCAAAGTTATTTTTTAGTCTTTTTATTAAATTGTAACACAATGCACATGACAAAATTTATCATCGTAACCATTTATAAGTGGACAACTTAGTAGAGTTAAGTACATTCCTATTGTTGTACAACCAATCTCCAGAATTATTTTCATGTTGAAAAACTCAGTACCCATTCAAAAACTCCCTATTCCTCCCTCAGTCCAATTCCTGGCACCTGCCATTCTGCTTTCTGTCTCTGGAAATTTAAACACTCTAGGCACCTTTTATGTAAGTGGAGTCATACAGTATTTGTCTTTGTGTGGCTGGCTTATTTCACTTAGCATAATATCCTCAAGGTTCATCTATTTTGTAGTATGTGTCAGAATTTCCTTCCTCTTTAAGGCTGGATAAGATTCCATTTTAGGTAACATATTTTGTTTAACCATTCATCCATTGATGAATACTTGAGTTGCTTCTGTATTTTTACTGTTGTGAATACTGCTGCTATGAACATGGGTATGCACATATCTGTTCAAGACCCGTTTTCAGTTCTTTTGAGTATACCTCTAAAAAGTGGGATTGGTGGATCATACAGAATTCTATTTTTAATTTTTTGAGGAAACCATCATAGTGTTTTCTGCAGTGGCTCCGCCATTTTACATTCCCACCAACAATGCACGAGGCTTCCAGTTTCTCTACATCTTCACCAACTCTTTATTTTCGGCTTTGTTTTTTTGATAGTAGCCATCCTTGAGGATGAGATGGAAGAGTCATTTTTATAGAGATATGATTTGATGACCTTTGTTATAATCTCTGTTTGGAAAACAAAATTAACAAGAAACTTCTCCTCTTTGTTGCTCCACAACTAAGCCTGCCTGGGTAAATGGACGGTTGAGTTAGTGATGGAGAAAGTGATCAGATTCTGCTTGAGAGAAGGCACAAAATCATGAGCAGCCAGCATCTCTGCTCAGTAATTGAGTGTACTACAGTGGAACAAGAAATGTTGACCAGACACAGTGGCTCTCACCTGTAATCCCAGCACTTTGACAGACCCAGGCGGAAGGATCCCTTGAGTTCAAGAGTTTGCAACTGGCTTGGGCAACAAAATGAGACCCTGTCTCTAAAAACAAACAACAAATGTTTACTAATCACCTCATATACCTTAGGCCTTGGTCTCGATGCTGCAAATACTGCATTAAGCAAGAATTTTCTGCTCTCTTAGAATTTACATGCTAGAAGAAAAAGACATAATAAGCAAACCAAGATAATTTCAGACAGAAATAAATGCTGGGAAGTAATGAAACAAAGAGAGACACAAGCGTTGGCTTCCTTCAGCTTTAGCCCTATGACCTAGAGTCTCCTAGAAAATGAAATTATGTACTAACCTTTCTTTTTTGCCTGGAGACAGAGTCTTACTCTGTTGCCCAAGCTGGAGTGCAGTGGTGTGGTCACGGCCCACTGCAGCCTCAACCTCCTGGGACTACAGGCGTGTACTGATTGTAGAAAAATCAGCTATACTCAGCTGATTTTTATATATTTTTTGTAGAGATGGGGTTTTACCACAGGGCCCAGGCCTGCCTTGAGCTCCCGGGCTCAAACAATCCTCACACCTTGGCCTCCCAAAGTGCTGCGATTGTAGGTATGAGCCACCATGCTAGGCCATATACTTACCTTTCAAACTTTTTTCAAAAAAATATGCTCTTAGCAATATGTGCTATATCCTGGGATTTCAAAAAAAAAAAAAAAGAAAGACAAGATTATTCTGAAAAGTGAGATAATGTACATAAAACACCTGGAATAGGGTCTGGCACATAGTAAGCCCTCAATAAATGTTTATTATGTTATCTTTATTATTATTAAAATTATCGGTGAAGTTTCTCTTATTTCTAAAAAACTAAACATTCAAATTTCACTATCCAGATTAGTTTTTCCCTTCCCGTCCTTAACAGTCTTGTCCCCGATTTTTTTTCTTTTAATTTATTTTATTGCATTTTGGGTTTTGGGGTACATGTGAAGAACATGCAAGATTGTTGCATAGGTACACACGTGGCAGTGTGATTTGCTGCCTTCCTCCCCATCACCTATATCTGCATTTCTCCCCATGCTATCTCTCCCCAACTCCCCACCCCCCAATGTCCCTCCCCTATTTCCCCCCAACAGACCCCAGTGTGTAGTGCCTCCCTCCCTCTGTCCATTTGTTCTCATTGTTCAACACCCGCCTATGAGTGAGACATGCAGTGTTTGATCTTCTGCTCTGTGTCAGTTTTCTGAGAATGATGGTTTCCAGGTTCATCCATGTCCCTACAGAGGACACAAACTCATCGTTTTTGATGGCTGCATAATATTCCATGGTGTATATGTGCCACATTTTCCCTGTCCAGTCTATCATCGATGGGCATTTGGGTTGGTTCCAGGTCTTTGCTATTGTAAACAGTGCTGCAATGAACATTCATGTGTACATGTCCTTATAGTAGAACGATTTATACTCCTTTGGATATATACCTAGTAATGGGACTGCTGGGTCCAATGGAATTTCTATTTCTAGGTCCTTCAGGAATCGCCACACTGTCTTCCACAATGGTTGAACTAATTTACACTCCCACCAACAGTGTAAAAGTGATCCTATTTCTCCACATACTCTCCAGCATCTGTTGTCTCTAGACTTTTTAATGATCGCCATTCTAAATGGTGTGAGATGGTATCTCAACGTAGTTTTGATTTGCAATTCTCTGATGACCAGTGATGATGAGCATTTTTTCATATGTTTGTTGGCCTCATGTATGTCTTCTTTTGTAAAGTGTCTGTTCATATCCTTTGCCCACTTTTGAATGGGCTTATTTGTTTTTTTCTTGTGAATCTGTTTTACTTCTTTGTAAATTCTGGATATCAGCCCTTTGTCAGATGGGTAAACTGCAAAAGTTTTTTCCCATTCTGTTGGTTGCCAATTCATTCTAATGACTGTTTCTTTTGCCTTGCAGAAGCTGTGGAGTTTGATTAGGTCCCATTTGTCTATTTTGGCTTTTGTTGCCAATGCTTTTGGTGTTTTGGTCAAAAAGTCCTTGCCTACGCCTGTGTCCTGAATGGTTTTGCCTAGATTTTCTTCTAGGGTTTTTATGGTGTTAGGTCTTATGTTTAAGTCTTTAATCCATCTGGAGTTAATTTTAGTGTAAGGTGTCAGGAAGGGGTCCAGTTTCTGCTTTCTGCACATGGCTAGCCAGCTTTCCCAACACCATTTATTAAACAGGGAATCCTTTCCCCATTGCTTGTTTTTGTCAGGTTTGTCAAAGATCGGATGGTTGTGGTTTTTTTTTTTTGCTTCGGGGGCTTTTTTTTTTTTCCTTTGTTTTTTTTTTTTTTTTGGTACCAGTGCCATGCTGTTTTGATTACTGTAGCCTTGTAGTATAATTTGAAGTCCAGTAGTGTGATGCCTCCCGCGTTGTTCTTTTTGCTTAGAATTGACTTGGCTATGCGGGCTCTCTTTTGGTTCCATATAAAGTTTAAGGTTTTTTTTTTTTTCCATTTCTGTGAAGAAGGCAATTGATAGCTTGATGGGGATAGCGTTGAATCTGTAAATTACTTTGGGCAGTATGTCCATTTTCACGATATTGATTCTTCCTAACCATGAACATGGAATGTTTCTCCATCTGTTTGTGTCCTCTCTTATTTTGTTGAGCAGTGGTTTGTAGTTCTCCTTGAAGAGGTCCTTTATGTTCCTTGTTAGTTGTATTCCTAGGTATTTTATTCTCTTTGTAGCAATTGTGAATGGCAGTTCGTTCTTGATTTGGCTCACTTTAAGTCTGTTATTGGTGTATAGGAATGCATGTGATTTTTGCACATTGATTTTGTATCCTGAGACTTTGCTGAAGTTGCTTATCAGTTTCAGGAGATTTGGGACTGAGACGATGCTGTCTTCTACGTGTCATCTGCAAATAGAGACAGTTTGACTTCCTCCTTTCCTATTTGAATACCCCTTTATTTCTTTTTCTTGCCTGATTGCTCTGGCTAGAACTTCTAATACTATATTGAATAGCAGTGCTGAGAGAGGGCATCCTTGTCTAGTGCCAGATTTCAAAGGCAATGCTTCCAGTTTTTGCCCATTCAGTATGATATTGGCTGTTGGTTTGTCATTAATAGCTTTTATTATTTTGAGATACATTCTGTCAATACCTAGCTTATTGAGGGTTTTTAGCATAAAGGGTTGTTGAATTTTGTCAAAGGCCTTCTCTGCATCAATTGAGATAATCATGTGGTTTTTGTCTTT